ACTCACTGCCCGACGCGCTCCTCGGCGGCACCCCCGGAGGAGGGGAGGCAGAGGGTGCGGCCCTCTTGAGAAGCGACAGGCTTTTCTTATATATACATATATATACACATATACATACAGGGCAGTTTTCAATACATGGGATGTTTAAAACATAGGGTTTCAAATGCATGAGTCATTTGTGAATAACTTTATGCATGATCTCAGAGCTGTTTTTAACACTAAACCCTGCATGTTTAATAGATGTGCCGCACGCGGAGCATGTATTGAAAACGGCACTGTATATATATATATATATATATATATATAACCTGTTACAAAGAAGGAGGCCTTGCGCGGCAACTTGCAACCCAATCTACGCAGGTCAATCGGAACCGCGCGGGACTCACGTCGGATTCACGCCGGGCCGGGTTCCCGTCGGCCTCACGTCGGAACGCCGCCGCACGAACGTCGCCGCGCGAACGTCGTTCCTCATCGCACCGGGCGGGCGTGGACTAGACAATACCACTAGTGCGCGCCGCGCGAGTCCTCCAGGATGTTCCTCATGGCTCATGTCATCTTGATGGCTCTGGCAAATCGACGCTCACCGACGCGAACCGATGCTAAATCGACACTCATCTACGCTACATCCACGCTCATCGATGCTAAACCGACGTTGCTCGACGCTAACCGCTAACGCACTCGAAAGACGGAATGTCAAGGTCAATGCCTAGGAGAGCGCAGAGTCAAATCGACAAGTCGGACCGGCGATCGAGATGAATCGAATCGGCGGAAATCGGCAGACGAGTTGGGAACGTCGAGTCGGCGGGCATTGGTAGGCTGGTAGGCCTCCAGTGAGAAATGAGAGCCCACGTCGGAACACAAAAAAAAGAATCGAATCGGAATCGGAAGCCATCGAAATCAAACCGACTCGAATCGGGGGAGATCGGAACGAGCCCTGCGGCGGCGGGGCCGCCGCCGGTCGGCACGACGCGAAGCCAACCTACGAGACTTCCATGAGCTGCTGTTGGGTCGGGCATGTCCCCCTACAGGCGCAGCTTGGGAGACAAATTGAAAATATGCACAGCACTTCCCCGAATAATTCAAAAAATACGCCAAACTTCGTCCCTCGACTATTTTTGACTATCTTTGAATAATCACCCTGTAGAAGGACAATCCCGATTTAGAATCGAACTCGAATCGAATCGAATCGGGGGAAATCGGAACGAGCCCTGCGGCGGCGGGGCCGCTGCTGGTCGGCACGACGCGAAGCTAACCTACGAGACTTCGATGAGCTGCTGTTGGGTCGAGCATGTCCCCCTACAGGCGGAGCTTGCGAGACACATGGAAAATACTCACAGCATGCCAACGAATAATCAACAAAAATAAGCCAATAAGTAATCCATGACTTTTTTTACTAGATTTGAATATTCCTCCTGTAGAGGGACAGGCCCGACTTAAAATCGAACTCGCATCGAATCGAATCGGCGGAAATCGGCAGCCGAGTTGGGAACGTCGAATCGGCGGACATTGGTAGGCTGGCAGGCCTCCAGTGAGAAATGAGAGCCCACGTCGGAACACAAAAAGTCGAATCGAATCGGAATTGGAAGCCATCGAAATCAAACCGACTCGAATCTGGGGAGATCGGAACGAGCCCTGCGGCGGCGGGGCCGCCGCCTGTCGGCACGACGCGAAGCCAACCTACGAGACTTCCACGAGCTGCTCTTGGGTCGGGCATGCTTGGGCGACAAATTCTGGAAATACTCACACAATGCCCCCAACTTATCACAACAAAATACGCCAAACATCGTCCCCATATTTCTGTACTATATTTGAACCTTCCTCCTGCAGAGAGACAGGCCCAACCTTCCTAAAACCTTCAGGAAGCCTTCCTCATGAAGAACCTTGCTAAAACCTTCCAGAAACCTTCCTCAGGAGGGCTTTTGTTGGAAGAGCCTTCCTAAGCACCTTCCTCGGTAGAGTCCCACCAGCCCTTTAGGGCGTGAGTGGTTTAGCGAGCCCCCTCTGTCCTCAACCCCCCTTCTTCCCCTTCGGGGAGGGGTTTACCCCTCCCCCTACCCCCTCCCCCTGGGTCTGGAGAGGGCGGGCCGCGGGTGGTTGGAGGGGTCTTTTTCGACTCCTGGGAGGGCTAACAAAACGACGACCCTCACGAGGATTCTGCCCCCGACGGGGGGACGCTGAAAAAAAACCCTCTCCTCTTCTGTGAAGCCAAAATCATTGATTTTACTAGGGTTTTGGCCCCATTTTGGCCTTCTGAGGGGGCAGCGCTCCTCTTCCTTGTTCTCAAAATCATTGATTTTACGAAGGTTTTGGGCTCATTTTGTCCTTCTCAGGGGGTAGCGCTCATTTGCGCGTCTGAGGAGGTCGCAAGAGGCCCCAAGATGGCCCCAAGAGGCCGGCCCCCAGGAGGCTCCCAAGAGGCCTCCAAGAGGCCCCCAAGATGCTCCCAAGAGGCCCCAAGAGGCCCCCAAGAGGCCCCCAAGAGGCCCCCAACAGGCCCCAAGAGGCCCCCAAGAGGCCCCCAAGAGGCCCCCAAGAGGCCCCCAAGAGGCCCCCCAAGAGGCCTCAAGAGGCCCCAAGAGGCCCCCAAGAGGCCCCACGAGGAGCCCGAACGACTCACACCAGGACGAGGGGCCCGAACGACTCGCACCACGAAGAGCCCGAACGACTCACACCACAAGGAGGGGCCCGAACGACTCACACCAGGACGAGGCGCCCGAACGAGGAGCCCGAACGACTCACACCACGACGCGGGCCCCGAACGACTCACACCACGAGGAGCCCGAACGAGTCACACCAGGAGGAGGGGCCCGAACGACTCACACCAGGATGAGGGGCCCGAACAACTCACACCACGAGAAGCCCGAACGACTCACACCAGGACGAAGAGCCCGAACGACTCACACCACGAAGAGCCCGAACGACTCACACCAGGAAGAAGGGCCCGGGCCCGAACGACTCACACCAGGACGAGAAACCCCAAACGACTCAAATCACGAGGAGCGCTTTCTCTCCCTCCTCCTCCGCCTCGTCCTTCTCCCGCTCCCCCCACAAGGAGGATGTACAAGGAGGCGGGAGGAAGGAGGAACAGGGGAGATATGCGGGGCCAAGCGGACACACGCCTGAAAAACACGACTGTCGGCATGCTTCGCAAGAGTTGCTGCTGTGAGATGGGCTGGTGGGGATACGCGAAGCGTAAAGAATTTTTGTTGGAAGAGCCTTCCTCCTGAATCTCCCTCCTGCGTACGTGTTCCTCCTGCGGAGGGCCACGCCTGCGAGGCGGGGATTTATCCATGTCCACCGCCTGGAAGCCGACGTCCTGGTGCCCCAGCGGGCGGTGGACATGGATATGTTTCGGCCCCCCGGGGGCCCGAACATGTCCATATCCGCCGCCTGCCGAGGCTCCGAAAACTGACCCTCCAGGCGGTGGTCATGTATAAATTCCCGCCTCGAAAGAAGAAGCACAACCCTGAGACCCGAGGACTCGAATGGGGGATCGACTGCAGAGTTGATGTGACCCAAACTTGATCTTCGCATCGAGTTTGCGGAGCAGAGACGTAGAATGTTCGCATATGCGCGGGTCCCTCTACGTACTTCCGTAGGGCCAACGAAGAAATAGATTCTGAGGCACATCAATGTTGTAGTCGATCCCCTATTCGAAGGACGTCGCCTCCAGGCGATCCCCCTCCAGGCGAGGAGGAGGGAGGAGGAGGAGGAAGAGGAGGAGGCGGAGGCGGACGAGGAGGACGAGGAGGCGGAGGAGGAGGAGGCGGAGGAGGAGGCGGAGGAGGAGGAGGAGGAGGAGGAGGCGGAGAAGGAGGAGGAGGCGGAGGAGGAGGAGGAGGCGGAGGAGGAGGAGGAGGAGGAGGAGGAGTGGTCATGCATCAACCCCCGCCTCGGACGGGCCCGACTGCCGAGCTGCCGCCGCGGCTCCTCCTCCGGCGTCTGCGCCCCGCGCCGCGCCGCCCGCAGGCAGGCGTGGAGGTCCGCGCGCACGCGGCGGCGGCGCGCCGAGGGGGGGGAAGCCCTGGCGAGCAGGAGGGCGCCTCCCAGACAGGATCGGGCCGCTCCCCCCCTCCCTCCCCTCCCCCCCCTCCCTCCCTCCCCCCTCCTCCCTCCCCCCCCTCCCTCCACAATTACCCAATATGAATACTACTCTCCTCCTTCCCCTGATGACGGTTTGAAAAAGTTCGACCCCCCCTCGCGTACTGTTTCTTTACACACAGGTTTCCCCGGAGTTGGGTTTTCGCCTGCATTTTTTTCGAAATGCTGCTCTCGCAGAGGCGCTGGCCTCATTTTCGGGCCCCGCTCGTTCCGAATCGTGCTCCCGCTGCAGCGCTGGCCTCACTTCCGTGCTTCCGCTCGTTCTGAATCGTGCTCCCGCTTCAGCACTGGCCTCATTTCCGAGCTTCCGCTCGTTCCGACTCGTGCTCCCGCTGCAGCGCTGGCGTCATTTCCCGTGCCATGCCACGGCATGCAATGCAATGCTAGGTTGATACTACGCTTTGCGGTGCTCTTCTATGCCATGCCATGCCGTGCTCTACAATGCATCGCGTACCCTTTCGGGATGATTGCCCTGCTCGACATCCGACTGAGAGAGTAGGGATGGGATCTGCGCCATGGTAAGGGATGGGAGGGAGGGGTAGGATGTCAGATATGACGCGAGCGCACCTAGCTTGCCTCCCCCCCTCCCCCCTCCCTCCCCTCCCTCCCCCCCCTTCCCTCCCCTCCTTCCCTCCCTCCCTCCCCTCCCTCCCTCCCTCCCTCCCCCCATCCCTCCCTCCCTCCCGCTCACTGGGGGGGCGGCGATACAAACAGGGTGCCCGTTCCAAGCAATGCCAAGCAATGCCAAGCAACGCCAAGCAATGCCAAGCAATGCCAAACACTACGCCCACGCAACAAGCAGCTTTACCCTGACTGGGGTCGCGCCGGGCTGCTTGTCCTACATGTCTTTCCTGGGCGTCGACGTCCCTTCGTGTGCGTGCCGATTTTTTACCTCCTGCTCACCTCGGCCTTCCCCCCTGGACTCGCCGCCGAATGTGGGCTCGGGCCCACATCTGCTGCAGCGCCTTCTTGGCCTCGCTCGATGCGGCTCGGGCCTCCCTGTCGCCGCTCACCAGCGCCGGGAGCGTCAACTCCGCGCTGGCCAGCGAGGCGTGGCCGTCGGCGTCCGCGAGCCTGTGGAACGCCGCCTCGAACAACCGGCGCGGGTCCCTCTCCGCACCCCCCTCGGCAAGCAGCTTCGTGGACTCGGCCACCAGGGCTTCCACCTGTAGTACGGGGCAGGGGAAGACATATATGATACTGGAGAAAAGCCCCAATCATAATCTGTTTGGGCTGTAGGGCTATATGGGCTATAGGGCAATTGGGCTATTGGGCTATAGGGAAATAGAGCTACAGGGCTATAGGACTATAGGGTGTAGGGCTACAGGGCTATAGAGCTATAGGGCTATACGGCTGTAGGGCTATAGGGCTACTGAGCTATAGGGCTATAGGGCTGTAGAGCTATAGAGCTGTAGGGCTATAGGGCCATAGGGCTATTGGGCTATAGGGCTATAGGGCACCCCCGGGCACCCCCGGGCATCCGGGCGTGCGGCGAAAATCGGCGGCAAACCTAACCTAACCATACGAATCCGCTAGGACCTCTAAAGAGGCAAGCTCTGATTGGGGAACATGGTCTTCGGGCGCTCCGCACGGATGTCTTGGATCGGAGCCCAGCCCCCCTCTTCATGGCGCGCGGAACGCGCCAGCGGCGGCGCCGGAGGCGCCGACCTATGAAAATGAGATCCGCGTGGACGTTCGAAGGTCGATGCGTATGCAGTTCACTTCCCGTCTGTACCCTCGGAGCTCGAAGGCGACCACAGCCACGACCGCGCCAGCGACGACCCTGGGACCCGGACAGCCGCGGACGTCCGAATTCTCAGCAGTCCGCGACCCCAGGTGAAGGTCCCGTCCGCGGCCCACCGCTGGTGCAAGACATCCGCACGGCCAGCCGAAAGTTCATGCTCACGCCATGCTCTCTTCCAGGGCTCGAGCTAAACAGTGTTGTGCGTTTTCGTTTTGTTTTCGGTTTCCCCTCGCTTTGGGGTCGTTCCCCCTTCGCTGCAAACGACATCGAAATTACCCAGGGACGTACCTTTGTACGCATGAAGCGACTATACATCGGACCACTCAATACAGAAGCGAGCACTGATGGATCCGCCGTGCCCTTGAACGATTGGCCAAAGAACGTGGGGCCAGAGTAACATGTTCACATATGCGGCGTCGCTCTGAAGAGTCAGACCGATGGCAGGAAGGCGGCCACAAGGGAGTGTGGAAACACACTTAGGAGAGACAATGGGAGACATGAACCGCGGGAGCAGAGCCGCTGGACCCCCAAACGTCGCAACCCAGCCCCCCAGGGGACGGCGAGGCCTCATGGCGATCTGCGAAAGACGCACCTCCGCTGGGCCCACAGGAGCCCACGGAAGTGGCGACAGATTAGCCCCCCAGGGGGCGGCGAGGTCTCATGGTGATCTGCGTAAGACACACCTCCGCTGGGCCTCCCAGGAACCCACGAAAGTGGCGACGGTTTCGCAGATCACAGCCCCCCAGAGAACGGAGAGGTCCTATGGTGATCTGCGTCAGACGCACCTCTGCTGGGCCTCCCAGGAGCCCACGAACGCGGCGACAGTTTCGCAGATCGCAGCCCCCCAGGTGACGGCGAGGTCTCATGGTGATCTGCGTACGACGCACCTCTGCTGGGGATCCCAGAAGCCCACGAACGTGGCGACGGTGTTGCAGATCGCAGCCCCTCCCCCCCCCAGGGAACGGCGAGGTATCGTGGTGCACTCACGCTGGGCGTCCCAGCAGACCACAAGAGTGGCGACGGCTTCGCAGATCGCAGGCCCCCCAGGGGACGGCGAGGTCACGTGGGAATCTGCGTAAGACGCACCTCTGCTGAGCCTCCCAGGAGCCCACGAAAGTGGCGGCAGTTTCGCAGATCGCAACCCTCCAGGGGACGGCGAGGTCTCAGGATGACCTGCGTAAGACACGCCTCCGCTGGGCCTCCCAGAGGCCCACGAAAGTGACGACCGCGTCTCAGGTCGCAGCCCCACATGGGCCGGCGAGGTCTCCTGATGCTCTGCGTAAGACGCACCCCTGCTGGGCCTCTCAGGAGCCCACGCAAGTGGCGACGGCTTCGCAGATCGCAGCCCCCAAGAGAACGGCGGGCGCCGAACCTCCCAGAGGCCCACAACACGCGACGACAGTTTCGCAGATCGCCCCCCCCCCCCCCCCCCTCCCCCCCCGGGGGACGGCGAGGTCCCATGGTGATCTGCGTAAGGCGCACCTCTGCTGGACGTCTCAGGAGCCCACGAACGCGGCAACAGGTTAGCAGATCGCAGCCCCCCAGGGGACGGCGAGGTCTCATGGTGATCTGCGTAAGACGCACCTCCGCTGGACCTCCCAGAACCCCCACGAACGCGGCGACGGCTTCGCAAATTGCAGCCCCTCAGGGGACGG